TCTCTCTCTCTCTCTCTCTCTCTCTCTCTCTCTCTCTCTCTCTCTCTCTCTCTCTCTCTCCGTCGTGTCTTAGGGATTCCCCCCCTGGCTGCTGATGTGGCAGTGATGTCCCTCGTGCCTGTCTTTGCTCCCCAAGTCTGCGCAACAGAGAACGAGCTTGCGCCCATCGATCAATAGGCGGCAAATGTGCCGCTGGGGTGCAAGGACCATCTGGGCCAGGTCCAGTCCTCATCCTCACGCGACGACCTCCGCTGTCATCTCCGTCCGCCGTACGGATCCTCGGGACGTAATCGGAGTCATCAGGATCGTCGGCGCCTGTGGTCTCCCCGCCCTCAGCGGGTGTGGAGCTGTCGTCGTGGAGGATGATCATGCCGCCTCGTCTCTTCTCACCTCGACCTGCTTCGTCCACTCTGTCACCTCCCTCCGCCCCCCCCTGTCCATCTGCGGCAGCTGGCATCTGTCTGGTCYCGTCCCTGTTGCGGAAAAAAGGATGCAGGCGGCACCGGTGATACGGAATCGACACACCTGTTCCCTTCTTCCTCGCCCGTGACAGCCTCGCAGTTGCCGTCCTGGTGTCGTTGACATCGCTCGTCTTGGCCCGTATAGGCCTCCCATGCTGCTCCTCGTAAGCTCTCATGGAATCATGACAAGTGCCATCGACGTTGCCGATCAATCGCGCCCCCGCGGGCACATCTGCCGGTCCATATGCTGATGTCTGTCCGATATCGCCCGCCCTCCGGTCCATGCCCGCACCGTCGTAGAAAGACCTCGTAGGCAATGCGCTTGGCGCGGCCTGGCCGTGGGCGGCAGGATCAGCGGCAGAGGGGCGTGAGGGTGGTGGGCACATAATGTCACGCATCCCTGTCAAATGCGGCCGAGGCTCATCTGTGTGCCCGTCTCCTACGTCATGTGTGCTGGGCCTGACAATGCTGGGGTGTGTGGTCGATGACCCTCTACGCTCGATGCCCCCCCTGAAGGACCGTCCACCATCTGCGCTCCCTGGCTGCGCTGTATCCTCGCTCGCGCCCTCGCCTCCGTCCGAGCGGATAACTCCGGGAGGCCTCGCCTCTAAAGTCTCCGCTGACCCTCGATGTGGCTCTTGCTGCGGGCCCTCCTCTGGTGGATGGACTGATGACACGCCATCCGATAACAGCTGCGAACCATGACCCCCCTGCGCCAAAAAATCTCCAGACGCTGCTTCTAGTGAACCTTCCAGACTACGTTGAGCTGCGACGTGCGGTCCACCACGACGGTTCCGTGCCCACCTCCTCCGCCAACCCCTGCTCCACTGCCCACGGTGCACCGACATGAAAAATGGCGGGAGTGCCGGACTCTGGAGGATGCAGTATCGTGTCGCCGCCGAACTCGTCGAACCCTCTGTCACGACGCGCGTCATCTCGTCTAGCAGGCTCCGGTGGTGCTACAACCGGCAAAGTGGGAGATATCAGTAACGATATATCGGGCAGAGATGCCAAGGCGGAATCCATGGTGAATAGCTCGTCGGTGGGCGGAAGACTGTCGGGCGGGCAGTCGAGGCCGACGTGGTGGTCCGTCGGAGGACGTTCGTCCTCCCCGTCCTTTCCACAAGTGAGAGTGGGTGCAACCTCTCCCTCCTCTAGACCGTCGTCACTCGTGTGAGGAGGCGGCTCACGTCGTGCCTCGCCGTCCTCCAAACCCGCTCCTGTGGAGTGGACTGGGGCGCCTGCTGGAGTGCACTGAGTCTGCGCCTGGCGGAGTGGACCGGGTCCTCCGAACTCCGTCTCCTCCTCTATGCCAACAACCGGCGCAGGCGACCGGAGATGAGTGATCCTGAACCCTATATCCTCCTCCGTCACTATCACATCAGTGTTCGAGGCTAGCTCCTCTGCATGAACCGGGTCGCGCTGCGTCTCGTTGGACGGATCTCCCATCTCGTCCTCTGACACGGCAACCGGGTCCTGCCGCATGTCACGTGCCCCCGTGTCGATCGCAATGTGGACACGATGTCTGCGTACACGAGACGCAATACTGTCATCCCGCCTACCCCCGTGTCTCAACCGCTTCAAAACG